AAATAAAGTACTGTCTGTTGAAGCAGGTCAAACTAGCCAGATATATATTTGATCATTCTCAATATATTGAATATTGCGATTGTTTTATTGTATCAGATTCTCCAGTCTATACTCCCCAAGACGGCGATAACTGGATGCTAGCCAAGCTAAATGTGCAGCTCACTGACCTGGGTTGTAGTCAGATGGTTGAACACCTTTCCAAAGTACATTTTGTTATGGAAGCTCTTTGTTTAAGTTACGAACGACAGATTTCTGAAAAACATCCTTTGTATGAGGTACTCAAGTACCACTGCCTAGGGATCTTCACTACGAACACACTTGCTGGACCAGAGCTATTGGATGAAAGAAAAGCCTTACACGAAATCTTTGGTTATGGTCATGAGGGAGGCGCGKTATTGGTCAGAGAAACAGCTCAACTCCTTCAATGGGAAGACTTGAAACCAATGAAAAATATTAGGGTATGTTTACCTAAAAATGTTGTAGGAATTAAAAACGTTACATCATCGAAGCTAAGAAAGGATGGGGATGCAAGAAATCAGTACGGTGTATGTATGACACATTTTTTTAGCTCCCGCACATTGTCTGCGCTGAACATTCGTCCTCTTCCTCCAAGAAAAATGTTAATAATGTACATGTTTAAGCAAATGTTACCCAAATCTACGAATCTTAAAAGAGGGATTCTTCGGATTTACCTTTCAATTTGGTGATATAATCTTTTTTGAATTTGACAACGTTGTTTCAAACAACTAGATATCTAGAACTAGATTTCTCATACTCATTAATTATTCATGAGGTATCCAGCCAATCCCTGATTGTAATTTGTACCACGTGCAGTAACTGGATAACCAGAGGAAGTACTCCTACCTTGTATTCTAGCTTATTTCCAGTTACTTCTACCTTGTTTCCAGCTACTTCTATCATATTTCCAGTTACTTCTACCTTGTTTCTAGTTACTTCTATCTTTTTCTAACTACTACTAGCTAATGATAATCAAAGTATTAGAAATAATCAACTTAATATAGAATCAATTTATAGTGAAAAAAGGTCTTTGATAAATGACTCCCTCACGTGCACGAAACGATCCCGAACCGTCAAGTCTATATGCGCCGTCTTATACCATTACACCACCGAGTTTCTGATGCGATTCCTTGGAAGATAACATACTTATAAAACTTATGAATTAGRCTCATTAGGAATGCCATGAAAAGCAAACAAAGACACTTTGAAAAGCTTTTGTTTCAGAAAGCCGTTCGGGAATTGGAAAACAACAAACGGTGCTTCTTTATTCAAAATTATGAAAACTGAAAACCTTGGTGGAGATGCAATAAATCAATATATTTCTGTTATATGTATTTCCTTCGCTTTTTTCCCCTCCCGAATAATTAATGAGTATGAGAAGTCGTTCAAAGTCCTCCAATTCGGACTGGACGGGATTTCAAGTCCTTGCAATTAGTTCCAGTCCTCGGCTAACGCCTCGGACTGGAACTAATTGCGCGGACTTGAAACCCCGTCCAGTCCTCATTGTCGGACTTTAAACATTACGTCTATATCATTCAAGATGATTCAAGACTATGTCGATGCGATTCCAGTGATAACGTTTGCTTTAAATGGCGCCCTATCGCATAATTACGTCACACSAAAACATTCTGTTGTTTTAACGCTATTATTATGGTCGCCAGATGGGGTCAGAGTGAGTGMATATCAAATAAAAGGTAGATGAGCAATCCTTTATAAATTATRTACATCAAAACTCGATAAACTGAAGTTATACTTTCGGA